TCAAATGAAGCTGAAGTAATGAGTACATCAAGATAACCAAAAAAATACATAATACAGACTTAAATGTAAGACCCTGCAATACATTGTCCATTAACATTTGAAAACTATTTGGTGCTGTTTTCAACCCCATAGGTAATCTCAAAAATTTATAGGTACCAAGGGGCGATAACTCCCTGTTGTAATAACTCATCTAATTGTGTTCTGAGAATCTCCTTATCAGGAGGCAAACGATATGGGGATTGATGCTTGCTCACAAAACCAGGTACAAGGTGGATTTCATGTTTAACAAGTTTACTATATCCCAAATTTGGATTTGTATCAGTAACAAAAACATCTTTGTTATCATATATACATTTGTAAATGTCCTTCACCTGGGTTTCTGATAAAGCATCACCCACAGAAAATTGTGAACAAAATTTCTCAAAATCTAAACCGGTATTTACATTTGAACCACAACCACCCTCAGTACTGTCAGTACTTTGATTTGCTTGTATATCTACATTGTTACAAGATTCTGTTCCAACACTTTTCATTGGTAAAATACAGTAATCGTCATCCAACATCACAAAATCAGCAATCACCATGCCTTTAGTTATAGAAATAGGGGCACTAGTAGGATTTACCAACCGGACAGGAATAATGCGATGACAAGGAATGGTAGTGACCAATCTTGCGAGTAGGAGACCAGACTCCAACAAACATTTAGTTGCATGAGAAACACCTTGCAAACCCATTAACATCTTTTTGGGTATTTTGCCCTGAATGACCATTTCTGCATTGGGTGGTACTTCAATAGACTGGACACTTTTGACTTTGACCATTTTCTTGGCTGTAACTAAAGCAGAATATGTGCCCTTACAAAAATCTATCACAATACCTTTACTGTTCATATAACCAGTACCAATGAGAAAAGGGTGAGAAGTATTTGTGAGCAAATGAACATGAAAAGTATGTTTTCCATAAGGTGTGCTACCCTTGACTTTGGCTGTACCATATACATGAACCACATTTTTATTGGCAACATATATAGATTTGTCTGAAACAGTAACAGAATTTTTACAGGCTTGAGGTAAATCATCAAAAAAAGACTTTGACGTAACATTTATACTGGAGCCAGAATCTAAAAGGGCAGCAACCTTTATGGAAGTGAAATTCACAGGGTAATACATAAACTTAGTTTGTTCTTCACAGCTAATGTCAGGTGATTCACTGTCACTTGATAAACTACTGGTATCTGTATCAGACATGTCACTATCAGTTAATTTTCCATCAACCGTACATGTACTTGACCGGTCAAGATACATCTTTTCCCTCCAAGGCCTTGGGAAGGGCAGGGCTCACCCTGAACCAAAATCATCAGTAGCCAAAAAAATAGCCAAGTGTGATTTTTAGTAGCCAATTTTGTCAGAGAGTAGCCTTGGCATATTGGCACGTAACGTTTGATTGAAGCCCTTTTGAGAAATTGAATCAACTATATCTAATTAATCTTACATTATGGAAAAAAATTAATTTTAAACTTCTTTATTACAAAGCACCAATGAATAATACTTTACTATACATAACCAATATAAATAACAAAACAATTTTACTTTAATTAATTACACTCTCATTAAATAAGTTACACTTTTCTGTATTGACACTTGTTTGAAATACACTAGCTGTCCTTGAATTCATTTCTATATTGCATTGTTCTTGTACAGAAATCACTAGTTACACTTTTCTGTATTGACACTTGTTTGAAATACACTAGCTGTCCTTGAATTTATTTCTGTATTTGCATTGTTCTTGTACAGAAATCACTAGAGTTACTGTTTAGTATTGTTAACGAATGTCACTGTAGTACACCTGTCAGGGTAAAAATGTAGCCCGTCATGTTTACATTGCGTACAGTCTGCTGGTAGTAGATAGGCCTACACACTACGTAACGAAATAACACGCGTGCTTTGGGATAATTAGTAAGGCTGTGATTTCTAACACCGTCATTACCCACAAAAGCCAAAAGCCGATCGTTTTTATCTGTTGTGATACCAGAAACAGTCACCCTATCGTAGACTTCTTCGCCATGCTTGTGTCATTCTGAATCATTAAAGCGCTTTTTCAGGTTGGCTATATATATTCAAGCGTTTAAGTGACATGTGAATGTGGGGAATCCCCCACTCGGTTTGAACACGGATTGACAGCTCAGAACTCCGCCCACGTTATGGCGATATCTGATGTTCAGAAATAATAATAGTAATAATATTTATTCCAGGGACGTATAATACAGATGTACAGACTTTTTTTTATTTAGCGCATATAATGTATATAATTTGTAGAAAATACAAATTCTGAAATTTACTAAAATTATTGCAAATTTTATAAACAATGAGATGCAGATATATTTCTACAATAAAATTTCAGTGTTATTGCATCAACACTCCTGATGGAGAAATGGAAATGACACATGAGTATTCATAATATTGATCAAATTGCAGCAATTTTATTAGATGGGAGATTACACCGAAAATGGCCAAATCATACTCATTTTTGGCACATGTCTGTACCATTTTAAGCAGTGTTGTTTTCAAAAATTAAAAAAATCTAGATAAATAGATCATAGATCAACCACTGCTGCAAAATGAGTTCTTGAAATAATTTATATTTACCTTTTAAGTGAACTTTTCACATCGAAATTTTGACCATGGAAACAGCAGTCTTTGCAGAAGAAATTCAGAGACCATTCTGACCACGATTTCAGCTGTATTTCCGACATTGGTACACATTCTTGATGCATCCACTGCAGACATTTACTGCATTGAATTGTGTCAGAGACACATTCTTTTTTGCATTTCTTGCACGGATAACAGTTTGCCATACTGAAGGACACTGACAACCCATTTTTTTTTTAGCTTAACGTCCTTGTTCCGGTTATAACCGAGCCTAGGACACTAAGGGGGAGGGGGCTGGTAGGGCCGAGGCATTAGGGTGTGCAATTTCGCTTTTTAGTAATCACCAAACAGGTCTAATATGGGGAGGACAGATCTGACTAAATCTATACCCTAACGTCTTAAAAAAAAAAAAAAACTGGGGAAATTTTGGACTGTCACAGAAACGCCTAGTCCTACTCTAGTCTCACTTTATATTTCCCTATCATAAACCTATGCTCTGTGGCGGCTAGCAATTAGCCTTCTCTTTTTCGAAAACCAGCAGAGGTTCTTTAACGTGCACGGCGTGACTCACTGTACACCGGGCCCCCGTTTAACGTCCCTTCCGAAGGACAAGAAGTTTTAGAAGATAGCGGGAGAGAGCGTATGGGAAAGTCGGAAATTGGAAAATAGGTTTAGCTTGTTAGCTGGTGTAGGTTTGTTATTTGTAGATGGGATTACTAGCCACCATTTGACAAGGTTAGTCATGCTGGTCTAGAGTGGATTTTAAAAGTGGGGAACTGTGTTATTAAGTTCAGTTATGAGAGTGGATGTGATGGGGTGATATATAACGTAGATTTTTGGGATTAGTGAGAATTAATGTGAATTATTATACAAACGATGTCGTTCGGGAGACTGTAGATTACTGTGTATAATCGTCTACATGTCTACCCTACTAGAACAGGGATTTGTATATTAGAAGGTAGAAGGAAGAGTGGAAGAGATTTTGTAAAGGTTGTTGGCTTTGGGTCTCGGCCCAGTGTATGTTGTATTTATGTAGGTGATGTTTTTGTGTATGTATGTGGTGTTGTGGGTATGGTTACTTTAAAAAAAAAGGGGGGGATCTTACTGTTTTTCTACAGTGTCTCCTGCTAAGGGATGTGGTGTGTGTTATTGGCATGTATTAAAGGGTATTGTTGGTATGTGTGACAACCCATTCTCGTATGGCATTCATTTTATTAAAATTGGGATGAAACCATAAAAGAGCAAAAACAGATAGACGGAAATGCTTCCAATATAGTGTATATTTTCGCATCTCTATCCGTTGACATCAATTTGATCATTGACGAAATGTTATTGCAACAATCTGGAAAATACACAAGAAACAATGCAACCATTGTCATGGAATAACAAACTGACAGGTGTCATAATGGAAAAAATACTCTCAACAAGCAGAAAACAAATGACGGCAATTAGAAACCATTGACAGTTGCAATGAAGCGTGGCAGTTTTCATAAAATGATCACTCCATCGGTAAATAAACAAAAGAATCAACCCTGATTGGTTGAATGAAAATATCAGCAAAATGAAGGCGGAGCCTAGAGCTGTCGATCACGCTCGTCAGCCATGGCGGTAACAGAGAATTACGGAATAATAACTAGCGTCTAATAGGTAATTAAAGACTGCAAAGATTGAATAAATCATGACTTGAATTGAGATTGGAATGGTTTTAGTTCCATTCAACACCCGAAAAACTAGTGTAATATTGATAATAACTGTCTTTTCGGTGTCTTTTCGGTAAATGGCTGTCTTTTCGGTAATTCGTCGTAGCGCCGATTGGCCATGGGTTATCCAATTATCTCAGCCATAACAAGTTTAAACCAATTATAATATGTACTGTCGTTTAAAACTTCCAATAATTAGTCTAACAAAGACATGATCGGGTGCGCTCAACTGTGACGGCGCTGCCTCTGCCGCAGGATCCCCGGATTATGTAAGCGTGTCAGCTAGTAGGCCTACAATACACACGTGGACACGAAAGTACACCGACTTCACAGAGCACTTTTGTGGGCTTTATTATCGTATTGTTAGGGGTTTTTTAAAGAAAAAAAACACAATTTAGTAGCCACTTTGTATTTTGAGTAGCCAATTGAAAATAAAAGTAGTCAATGGCTACTTTGGCTACCGACAGCGCGAGCCCTCGGAGGGACTGCGGTGCCTTGGTGTAGCGTGATTTACCGTCCGTCCGAGGGGGCGCGCCTATCGGCCCCCGGAGTCGTCCTGTTTCCCGAATGGAAAAACCAACAGTCTGTAGCACAGTGCCCTCTCTGTTGGCACAAAACATCAGGGAAGATTTTTTAAATTACATTGAAGGAAATGAAACTGCTAGACTGGCTGGTTTATTGCAAACTATGGATGATATTTCAAATCAAACTGACGACGCTACAAGGAGGGGTGGAGAAGAAGATCACTTCACTTACGACCATTGTTTACACTGTCAGCTGTGAGAGATTTGGTGTTCAAGAATGGAAAAGAGCAGAGGTGGTCCACCAACCTAGTAGGAGACAACAGGAAGTGGCAAAACTCCGGAAGGAGTTAAAGGTATTGAGGAAACAGTACAGGAAAGCGAATGAGCTTGAAAGATACGGACTGCAGCAGCTAAGATATGACATCAGAACAAAGCTAACAACACTACAGAAGGCTGAAAGATCAAGGGAGAGCAGAAGGGTTACAGCAAAGAAAAGGGCAGCGTTCATTGCCAACCCCTGCAAGTTTACATCCTCACTTTTGGGGGGAGAGAGATCTGGCAGATTACAGGCCTCGAAGGAAGAGATAGAACAACATCTGAGGGAGACACACTCTGATGCTGGTAAGAACAAGCCTCTTGGAGAGTGTGAGAGAATACCATTGGAGGATGAGCCTACATTCCAGTTAGACGAGAAAGAACCAACCTGGAAGGAGGTTTTTGAAGTTGTGAAGAAAGCAAGATCAGGATCAGCACCTGGACCGAGTGGTATACCTTACAAAGTATACAAGATGTGCCCAAAACTTCTGAAACGGCTCTGGAGGATTCTGAGGGTGATTTGGAGGAAAGGGCAAATTCCGGAATGCTGGCAGACGGCAGAAGGGATATTTGTACCGAAGGAGAAGAACTCTGCGACCATGAACCAGTTCAGAACCATATCACTCTTGAGTGTAGAAGGGAAAATCTTCTTTGCCATACTTGCCAGGAGGATGACGAAGTACATGACATCGAATGAGTACATCGATTCTTCTGTGCAGAAAGGAGGAATTCCAGGATTCCCTGGATGTATTGAACACACCAGCGCAATCACACAGCTAATTCGGGAAGCCAAGATCAATCAAAGAGACTTGACAGTTGTTTGGTTAGACCTGGCCAATGCATACGGTTCTGTCCCCCACCAGTTGATTTTCAAGGCGCTGGAACATTACCACATCCCGGATCACATCCAGAAGATCGTGAAGAGCTACTTCAGCAACATCAGGCTCCGATTCACGGTCAGGGAGATAACAACATCTTGGCAGACACTTGAGAAGGGTATTGTAACAGGATGCACTATATCGGTCATACTCTTTGTGATGGGGATGAACCTGATCATCAAGGCGGCAGACCGGGAGACTAGGGGACCCAAGACTTCATCAGGAGTGCGAGTACCACCAAACAGAGGGTTCATGGACGACCTGACCATAACAACTACCACCCACGTGCAGGTGCGATGGATCCTGTCAGCACTCGAGGAAACAGTTGGATGGGCAAGGATGAAGTTTAAACCAAGGAAATCTCGATGTGTTGTGATAAAGAAAGGGAAAGTGACCAGAAAGTTCAAGCTCTCGATACAGCAGGAGATCCCAACAATCGTAGACAATCCAATCAAGTGTTTAGGAAAGTGGTTTGATGCTAGCCTGAAAGACAACAAGAATATCAAACGTTTGCAGAACCAGGTGGAAGAAGGTTTGAGGATAATTGACAAATCAGGACTGCCCGGTAAATTCAAATCGTGGATGTACCAACACGGGCTCCTACCACGCCTCACGTGGCCTCTAACCCTGTACAATGTTACCACTACCACAGTGGAAATCCTGGAAAGGAAAATAAGCAAATGTCTACGACGTTGGCTTGGAGTCCCCCTAAGTTTCACCAGTGTGGGCCTTTACAGCACCACAGGCAAATTACAACTCCCATTATCATCGCTGGTAGAAGAGTTCAAGGTGGCAAAGGTTAGGCTGGTGATGTCTGTTAGACTCCAAAGATGAGAAGATCCGGAATGCTGGAATTGAGACTCGAACAGGACGCAAGTGGTCAGCAAGCAGTGCGGTACAGGAAGCAGAGAGCAGGCTAAGGCACAGCGACATCGTTGGGACTACCTGTATAGGCAAACAGGGGTTAGGGTCAACGCGGGTGGAAAGGTGGGGAACAGCAGACACGGCTGGTAGAAGGAAGATGGTTCAAGATAACATCAGGAAGATGGAGGAAGAGATCAGGAAGGTTAAAGCTGTAGAAATGGGAGCACAGGGAGCATGGACCAAATGGGAGACAACGGAAAGACGTCTTACATGGGCAGATATCTGGAAGTTGGAACCATGTAGAATCCAGTTCCTCCTGCGATCAGTGTATGATGTCCTACCAACACCTACCAATCTCCACCGATGGGGATGACGGAAAACCCCAACTGCCCACTGTGTGACCAACCGGGTAACCTGGCCCATGTATTGTCATCGTGCAACACCGCTCTGACCCAGGGGAGATATACATGGAGACACAACAAGGTACTGCGAGAGCTAGCAGACACCCTTGAGAAGGAAAGGCAGAAAAAGAGGAAATGTACCAAACATCAACCGTACATCAGCTTTGTAAGATCTGGAGAGACAACCAATAAGAAAGCAGTGCACCAAGGAGGGATACTAGATGGAGCAAACAGTTGGGAGATGCGGGTTGACTTAGGACAAAGACTAGTTTTCCCAGATGTCGTCCAAACCAACCTTCGTCCAGATATCCTGCTATGGTCACAGCAAGGGAAGAAAATGGTAATGATTGAGCTAACTGTCCCCTGGGAGGATCGATGCCAAGAGGCTCATGAGCGAAGGGCAGCTGTTCAACGACTATCAACAACAGCAGAGAAGTCGTCCAGCTGGCTTTGGTGGAGAAGAGAAGATTTGAGCTGGAAGCCATCCATCGACGGGCAGTGATTTGGCCAATCACTGTCGACTCACCACCTTGAGGACGTTCCAGGATAGGAGTCGAAACGTCCAGTGAGAGGTGGTCCTGGCTGATGACGTCGATGGATTCTGCAGTCTAGCGATTGTTTTAAGGTAATTACATATTTCAAATCAAACTGAGATGGATGAAGTTATACTTGAAATAAGAAACATTTCTTCTGATACATGTAAATCAGTTTTTGGTGATAAAAATATGCCTACAAATCTTGTACTGCTAAGAAACACAAGGACAAACAATGGTTTTCACAAGAATGCGCTAAAAAAAGACGAGAGTTTAATCTCGCGAAGCGTAACTATAAAATGATAAAGTGTAATTTAAATAGAAAAAGATTGAAAAGGAAAGGTAAAGAATATCGTAATACTATGAAAAGATATTATATAAGCTTTCAAGAAAAAATGGAGGGAGAAATAAGGAAAACCTCAACAAGTGACCCGAAAAAGTTTTGGGAACTCCTGAATAAAATAGATTGTGCCAAGAAAAATGTAAAAATAGATTTCAAAAATCTGAATACTGATTATAGCGATGAAGAAGATTTGTTACCCACAACAGATGAAAGTATGTATGATCATGTTTTAAATGGCCCAATAACTGAGAACGAGATAAGGAAATCTGTCCAAAATCTTAGTAATAATAAAGCATGTGGGATAGACGATATCCTGAATGAACATATTAAATATTCATTAGAGCAGTTTATAGATATATATGTCAAACTTTTTAACACTATTTTAGATACTGGTATAGTACCTAAGTCATGGACTGTGGGGTTAATTAAACCAATCTATAAAAACAAGGGTGACATTAATGACCTTGACAACTATAGAGCAATAACTTTAGTATCTTGCTTGGGAAAACTTTTTACATCAATATTAAATGATAGGTTGAATAATTTATCTGATCAAGTAAATCTTATTCATGGAAGTCAAGCTGGGTTTAGAAAAGGATATTGTACTACAGAAAATATATTTATAATGCAAACACTGCTATCAATGTATTTCTCCTATAATAAAAAATTATATTGTTCATTCATTGACTTTAAAAAAGCCTTTGATACAGTGTGGAGAGCTGGTCTTTGGAAAAAACTGATAAAAAGCAATATTAAAGGCAAAATATTAAATGTTATTTATAACTTATATACTGATACTAAGTCATGATATGGGGTTTTGAAAATATTAGCCTTCTTGAAACAATACATCTGAAATTCATTAAAAAAGTTCTTAATTTAAAAAAATCTACACCAAATTATATGGTATATGGGGAATCAGGACGTTTTCCGTTAGAAAATACTATTAAAAGTAGAATGATTTTATTTTGGCACAAACTAATAACAGGAAATGGTAAAGTGTCGAGTCAGTTATACAATATTATACATGCAATGCATGAAACAGGTGAATCTCATTCAAGATGGTTAAATTTCATCAAAACTACATTAAATGACCTAGGGTTGTCATATATATGGACAACCCAACAATTGACTAGTCTAGAACGACAAAAACTTAAACATATTGTAAAACAAAAACTTAATGATCAGTTTATACAAAAGTGGTATTCTGACATAGAAACAAGTAGTAGGGGATATAATTATTTATTCTTTAAATCTAATTTTGGTTTTGAAAATTATTTAATTCAATTGAATGGGAGGGATCGGGCTGTGTTTTGTAAATTTCGTTCATCAAACTTCCCATTACCCATGGAAACTGGCCGCTGGATGGGGATTCCTAGAGATGAAAGATTTTGTACTTTGTGTAATGGTAATGAACTAGGAGATGAATTTCATTATTTGTATAAATGTCAAAAAGAATCCATACGCCAGATTAGAGAAAAATTTATCCCAAAATATTATTACACAAACCCAAATATTGATAAAATGAACGGAATGTTTACAATATGTAATAAAAGAGTAACTAAAAATGTCTGTACATTTCTTGTGAAACTAAATGTTATTTTAAAGAAATAAGCGGAAGTAAAGTAGCAAAATACCATACGCTGTAGATATATAAATTGGTGATAACTTGATGTAAACAAATATTAATAATCCTTATTATTGACGACGACGAAGATGATGATGATGATGATGGTGATGATGATGATGGTGTTGTTGATGATGATGATGTCATATGTGATGATGATGATGATGATGATGATGATGATGATGATGATGATGATGATGATCATGATGCCGATGATGTGTAAATTATAATCTGTTATATAATTGGTGTTTGTAAC